ACAAATGATTTAACTTTAAGTGTTCTCAAAAATGTAAGACAAAAAGGGTAAAGTCTTCTAAATTTTAGTGATTTTCAAAGAGAGGAGCATGCTTCCATAGGTGGAGAAGTAATAATAATGTATTTTTGGAAATCGGTGATATGTTTTGATTAAGTAAGAGATTTATCAGGCATGAAGAACATATAAGAAGGAGTGAGACTGGACAGCAAGTTTAATGCAATGATGCAAAGGTCATAGTAATCAGCATCAAGATTAGTATTCATACTGTGGTCAAAAGAAGCCATTAAATGATTTCATGCAGTGCCATATCAAGTTCATGTTTTGTATGATCATTTTTACCAGCCATGTGGAGAATGATTCAGGGTAATTAAGACAAGGGTACAAGACCATTAGGTAACTGTTGCAGTAGTTTGGATAAGAAAGATTGCTTCTAAAACTGATCTTAAATAGTGGGATAGAGAGTGGCAGAAATGGAAAGTAGAATTATTCAGATCACTTAAATCACTGGATATAGGATAAGAGAGAGAGAGAGAAACTATTAAAGATAACATCTCTACCCCACTGCTAAAAGAGAATAATTGAAAATCACATGTGATTACACATGCTCATTAGATTTGGTGATAACCCAACATAAAATTCCTGCTAAACAAAGACATTCTTTTTGAATTACAGCACCAATTCCAAAGAAACCTTGTGCAAAACTATATTCTCATGCTGTTTGAGGGAGGTGATTTCCTATCTTAGAACTACAAAATTCAAGGGATTTTTCATTGAAATTACTGGCCTTTGACATAAAATGTTTTAGGAAATAATCAGTACTTTAAAGAGTTTGGGTTTGTTTGTTTGTTTTTTTTTTTTTTTTCTGTTTTGGTTTTGATTTTTAACACAGCATCCTCAAAGCACCAGCACAAAAATTATAGGTCCCACATAATGTGGGTGTTCTGACAGTGCAGTCAAGTTAGATTAATTGTAATAAACAAAAATTGTCACTAAAGTTCTCAGTTTATACCATCTAATACTGTGTGAATACGTTTTATTTCCTAACATTATGAAACAGCCAAGAGTATAATAAATTACTTACCTAAGCCCTTTGAGGATTTTTGCATAATTTACCAAAACAAATTGATTTTAGCGGAAAAGCTGCTAATTTACATGGGTAGGAAGTGTTTTCCTTGGTGTGATGAATTTAATTTCAATTTCCCTGTTTGCATGAATTCACTCCAGTAATTCATCACTGTTAGATTAAACTACAACTATGTTTTACTTGAGTAGGCCCTAACATTCAATATATATGAATGAAAATAAATTGCCCTCAAAGTGTGGCTATATATTATATACAGTACATGATTGTTAAGATATCCTTTTAATAGAATAAGTAAATTTTAAAACTGAAAAAATAATGACATGCATGAATTTAAAATATGAGCAAAGTAGTTATGGCATTATTATATTGGATTTTAGGGTTTTAATTTTTTTATGTTTTTATCTTTTTTAAAAGAAAAAACAAGCATTTATGGGTGCTGAATATGTACCAGTTTAGGCACTAGGTAACAACATTTTTCATGTTATTTTCCCTTTTGCTATGTCTACTCCTATGGATTTGCTAAATAAATAATTGAAATAAAAAATGTTGTAGCTTAAAACAACTAACGTTTATTATCTCACACAGTTTTTAAGGGTCAGAATCAGGGAGTGGCCTTGTGTAAGGTCTCTCACAAGGTCACAGTTAAGCTGTTGGCTAGACCCGCAGTCATCTTGGGGTTTGGCGGAAGCTGGATAATTAACTGCTAAGCTCACTCATGTGGTTGTTGGCAGGCTTCGATTTCTTGCTGACTCTTGGCTGTAGACTCTGTCCTTGCCATGTGAACTCTCCATATGCAGCCTAAGTGTCCTCATAACATGGCAATTTGCTCTGCCCAGAATAAGTGATCCAAGAAAGAGAGAAGTAGCTGGCAACAGAACATCTAAGACATAAACTGTAGTCTTTTTGAACCTAATCTCAAAGTGACATATACTGTCATTTCTGCTGTATGCTACTGGTGACAGAGTCCAACGTCTTTCCAATGTGAGAAGAAACTAGACAGAGATCTGAATATTGAGGAGCAGACATCGTCTTGAAGCTGCCTACCATAAGTACCGAGTCTATACAATTCCTCAGCAAAACTAAATGTCATGGATAATATTAAAAATTCTCTGAGGATAAAGAAATTCTAAAACTGCAGTGTCTTCAGCGATTTGGAAATAAAATCACTCTCTCAACATGTAATCTGGACAATTAACTTAATGTCATAGTCGGAATGTGACATAATACATAGTGTTAACTGGGGGACAAAGTCCTTTGGTCCAAAAAGATCTCAGCTTTCCAGAGGCTATATTTGAAACTCTTCATAAAATTTAGTCTGTCTCCATCAATTTGATAAGCAGAACACATTTTACATAATTTTGGTGGTAATAAGACTTAGCTGTTGGGCCAGCTCCACCAGCATGTCCATGAAGAATGCTTTTGATCTCAGTGAACATAAAAGTTGATTACACTCGCTTAAATACATTGAGGTTTGGAGTGCAGCAATTTTTGACTTGATGTCAATTTCTTCTTCACTCCAATTCTCTTAAACTTCCTCCAATACTTACATTTTCATAAGATGCCCATCCTGTATGTTCTAGCTGCAGAGGTTAATTCCAGATTCACTGTTGCTATTAGAAAGACGATATGGTTCCAATCACAACTTTATTTTATCAGAAAAGTAAAAGCTTTCTTAATGCCCCAACTAACTTCCAGTTTCCTTTTTTTTTTTTTTTGCCAAGATTCACAACAACAAAAGTAATAATTATGGCTTATAAGTTTATGGCACTTATATGCCAGGCACTTTTCTAAGCACTTTACATATAATAACTAATGTAAGCATCTACCACACTGTAACCATATGAGGTAGATACTCACATTATCTCTATTCAGCAGAAGGAACTGAGATACACTAAAAGTTATTCCATACCCAAAGTAACACAGTTAGAAAATGGAAGAGATAGAATTAAAACTCAAGGATTTGCCACTAGAATCCACATTGGTAACCATGACACTAGAGAAATATGGCACCAGTCACCTCTGGCTGCAGACAAGGTGTGGCTATGTGTATGAAACTTCTCCAGCCTTTTAAGTGGAGGTAGGTACTGGATATGAGAATTGGAGAATGGAAGTTAGGTCTGCTAAACAATATTGTCTGTCATAGTTTATCATCTGTCATATGTCTATTAACCCTGCTTCAGGTTAGCTTTCTTCATATATAAAATGGTGGAAAAATGCATCCTTTACTTATTGGAGGTCATACGATTATTGCTTATTTTTAGGTCAATTGGGAACTGCAAATTGTTTTTTTTAATTGTAATAATAGATACAAATTATTCTAACATGCTATTCCAATAAGAAGATGTAGTACAAATGGTAAGTGAGAAATGATTATAATTCCTTAATTATAACTTATAATTGTATCATATTTTAAATTTTAAGTCCAATAAAAAATGGTTTTTGGTCTCCTTTCAATTTCCCTGTGAATGTCTCTTTTCTTTAGTGTCAAACATCGTGATGTCCACTTGATAGTGACTAGACCGGTGAACCATAAAGATTACTTTCCCTGCAGAAGCCTATTATCTCATGTGTCACTAGCGGTCCAACCACTTGCTTGCTGAGCTCTCATTATAACTGATAGAATAGACATACTCTGATTTTCAAAACAAGCATAGTATTTTCCCTACCTATTAAGGACTTCTTGGGAAACATCTTCAATATCCTTCAAATGTTGAATGAATAGCTTTTGATCTTATTATTAATTACAAGGGCAAGAGAGAAATGATGGATGTCTGTGTTAACATGAACCAACTTATTAGAAGCTGCAGTTATACATGGTGCTCACTGATCCATATTGTCCCTGTTAATGTTCATACCCTGAGAGTGAATAGAGGGCTTTACTTTCACAGAGTTGACATTATCAGGGCTGAGATGTGATTAAATACTCAACGGGACATACCCAGAACACGGAAACAGCAACACATAATGTTGCCTTACCAATTATTATACTCATTCATATGTATTGATGCACAGGGACAAATTCATAGAGGCCTTCATGTAATTGAAAGATATTCAGTAAGCTCCGATTTTATGCAGAACACTGCATTGCAAGAAGATATAAAACGCATATCTAACTCTAGCAAAAGAGATAGTTGAAGAGTTTGCTAAATATTTACTGGCCAATTGACTGAGAATGAGACTAAACAAATGTGAAATTCTCTGGATATCCATTCAGTGAAAAATTTACAGGGTACCCCTTTCTCCAGCCCTGGCTACTCAGAGAACAATAAAAAGTACAGCCACTGTCCCAGAGGAGTGTTCATAATCCAATAGGGAGACAAATATACACACATTTAATACTGCCTGACATGTGTGATGTAATAGATTTCCTAAGCAAATTTAACTCTAAGAGGAAAGACTCAGGGGTTGGGGATGGTAATTGCTTACCATTGTACCCCTGGTTCCAAACATAAAGAAGATGCTCAGTAAACATTTGTCAAACAGAAGGATTAATACATGAGTGGAAAGAAGGAGTAAAGAGTGTTTTTATTGGGACATAGATCAAGAGTGTTTATTTGAATATTTGGGACAGAGACAACTTGTAAAATAAGGATGATAGTTATGATGCCTTTATAGACAGAGAGTAGTGTAGGTGAAAAAGGGCAAGGAAATTTACTAAGCCTGAAAAAGTTCATGCACGCAGTTGAGAAAGTCCCTGCCAGGCTCATGAAACTGGATCTAGTCCAGAAATTAGTATTTCTGTTCCATCCTGAAAATAATGGAATAGATATTCCTATTAAAGTTAAGCAGAAATAAATACATTAAAAATTCATACACAATAACTAATATTTACTATTAATGGAGGGGTTAATGCTATATGCAGCTATAAATAGGCATTTTATAATCAAAGAGTAAATAATGTTTATTTCTCTTTCAGTTAACCCTCATCAAATTCACATAAGACACAACATTTCAGGGTGATCATCATTAATGAGGAAAAGGTTGTTGGGTAAGTATAATATTGCTTTAATTGACATCAAGTATTTTAAAAATTTTGAGTCAAAAGCATGTTTCTTTAGTCCTTTCCATAATTAGAAAACCACTTTAATTCTGCTAATTATATTGTCCAATGAGTATTTGAATATTTTCCTCAAATAATACCTAATGTAATCTTTATCAATATTATGTCTTAGACACTAACATTAAAGATGTCGCATAAAGGAACTTTAAATTGCCATCGTCTATTACATGCCTATTGAGTCTCAAAGGAACTGGGGGAATGAGCCATAAAAGATGAATAACAACAGGTTCCGAGTGATTAAAATAATCGTGATTTGGAGGCAGATATGGAGGGGTTAAGGATAGTGCTAACCTAGCAAATTAATGGCAATGTGTTATAATAACTGTGATACCACAGGCTAGTGGAAAGCTCTAAAGAAGGCATAAAGAATGAACAACAAATGATCCCTAAAAGGATCAGGGTAGACGTCATAGAAGAAAGGATATTTAAATTAGATCAGAAAGATGAGTAAAATTTCAAGAGGCAGAGAAAAGGGAAAGGGCATCTCACAAAAAGAGTATCACACATGCGTAGGATAAAGGCAGAGAAATACAGATATTCAAGAGGAGTTGGTAGTAAGGTTTGGGTGAACTGCAGGGTGTTAGGATGTCTCAGAGTAAGCAGAAGAAGACAGACACTACGTTAGTGACAGGTATCTGTCTGTGATGACAGATGTAGTAATTCTTAGAAGGTTAACAGGTTTCCTCCCAATTCCCGGTCTTTTAGTAGATCTGCTTGTTGTTAACATCTAGACAGGCATGGTACGTTCATTCTCTCAAGTTTAAATCAAAATGCTTGAATGCACTCAAGGAGAGTTGGTAGAGTAGTTTGATCTCTTCCTCATACACACCTTCCACAGAAGACAGAACACAGATGTGGAATACGCTGGCCACTGGAATCGGTTATATTAATTTTCTCCAAGAAGAGCATCACATGCTGATATTTAAAAAAAAAAATAAAAGCAAACTCCCAGCTAGTATTTTGGATACAGATACTTAAGCATGAAAATGTTGGGAACAACTTTCTAAGTAAAAAGAACCATTTCTAATAACTTAATCTTCACAAGACTTCTGCATAGATATATAATGAGGTGGGTACTTGCAGAATGTTGTGTTTATTTAGCTTTGGCCTTATAAAGAAACAATCATTTGCATATTTCTCTCAATTAAGTATTATACTGACATACTTAATTAAAAGCATAAAGGGCACTGACAATATTTCATTCTCTTAATGAAAGAAGAGACATATTATACAGTTCAGAATGTCTCTGTATTTAATTTTCCTGACTTTTTACTGCTCAAACTGTGCTCCTTCTATGAATGTTGTCAATTAGGATGAAAAGAAGGAAAATTAAAGTCGCTCTTGAAAATGCACTTGTGTTTGTTTGTGGAATCTGTGTACATTCAGAAAGTTGTGATTTGCATATTTCATGTATAATTAAACCCAGGAAAAGTGAATACTAGAGAAGCTAGGGCAGTTTCATATTCTTTCCAGTATCTTTTTTGTCATTATTGGGGATTCATGTCTGAAGAGATGATCTCTTCTTCAAAACCACTGGATTCATTTTTTGCTTAGAAAAATTACTTTAAGGATTCTTTAAATTCCTATTCTGTACATTTAAATATATCTTTGAGCATATCTAATGTGACAATTTGGGAATCACAAATGTTGAGATAAACATGGTTTCACCAAATGCACACTGGAGACAGATTCTACAAATATGAGTTTGAATATTAGCCTTTCCATTATATTTATGAAAGGTTTCCATAAGTATAGTTATGCCATTAATAAAATGAAAATAATGGCATGTATTCCATTGGCTTTAATATCAAATGGAGAATGACAACCACTTCATGCACATGTAAGCACTTTATAAACTGTTACACATCGAACAAATATAATAATATTTTTCTGAGATTGTAATCTCCATAAATGCAAGAAGAAAAAAATGAATGACCCCTGCCCAAAGGAGACCTACAATTCTAGTGAGAAAGACAAGTATATAAGATGCTGTAATTCAAGTAGAATGGAATATGTAATATATTAGAGAAATAAAGCAACTACATAAATACAGCAAACCTGTCTAAAATTCACTATACTTCTGTGATTGGACCATTTTTGGAATAAGACCATTGGGAATAGAGAAAGTAAAAATGCATTCCCAAAGAACATTTTCATGAAATTAACATTTGAACCCAGAATTACAGGAAAAATGAAATTTTAGTATTTCTAGAAAAATACATTGGCTAGATTACCTGACTTCAGAAGCAGCTAGTTTCTACATGGTTGCTTCTGGTTTTGTGTCAGCTCTTTTTGAACTGCCATGAATGGTCAACTCTAAAACATTTTCAGTGAGCTTCAGTAAGAAAGAAGGCTATTCTTAGATTCTCTCCCTTCTCTCTTTCTCTTTCTCTCCCCACCTCCGTATTTTTCTCTTTCTCCAGCTCCCTCCAAATCTATCTTTTTCTCTCTCTCTTGCATACACACACATACACACACCAATCATTTGTTTTAAAGACTTTACTTTTTGAGAGTTTTAAGTTCACAAAAAAATTGAGAAGAAGGTATAGAGATTTCCCATATATCCTCTGCTCAACACACACATAGTCCACCTCATTACCAATATCCTTCCACCAGAGTGGTGCATTTGATGTAACTGATGAACCTGTATTGATCAGCTAGAGTCCATCATTTACATTAGGGTTCGCTCTTGGTACATTCTATGTGTTTGGACAAATATATAATGGCATACATGCACCATTATAATATCACACAGAGTATTTTCACAATCCTGAAAATTTCTCTGTACACCTCCTAGTAAACCCTCCCTTCCTGCTAACCTCTGACAACAACCTCTTTTTACTTTCTCCATAGTTTTACCTTGTCTAAAATGTCATACAGTTTGAATCATACAGTATGTAGTCTTTTCAAATTGTCTTCTTTCACTTAGTAGTATTTAAGTTTTCTTAATGTATGTTCATGGCTTGATAACCTATTATTTTAAGGATGGAATAATGTCTCATTGTCTTGATATACCAGCACTTATTTATCCATTCACCTACTCAAGCACATCTTAGCTATTTCCAAGTTTGGCAATTATGAATAAAGCTGCTATAAACATCAATTTTCATGTTTTTGTGTAGACACAAGTTTTCACCATCTTTGGGTAAATACCAAGGAGTGTGATTGTTGGATCATCTGGTATGATGATATTTAGCTTAATAAGAAACTCCCAAACTGTCTCTAAAGTAGCCATATCATTTTTCATTCTTACCAGCAATAAATAAAAGTTCCTGTTGCACTACATCCTCGCCAGCGTTTGATATTGTCAATGTTCTGCACATTGGTCATTCTAATAACTGTGTAGTGGTATCTCATTGTTGTTTTAATTTGCATTTCCCTGATGATATGTGATGTGAAGCATCTTTTCATATCTTTATTTAACCATGTGCATATTTTCTTCTTAGGTGAAGTGTCTGTTCAGGTTGTTTTTTTTATTTTAAAAAAATTACAGGGGTACAAATATTTTTAGTTACACATATAGATTTTGTTATGTTTGAGTCATGGTTATATGTGTGAAGAGTGCCTATCGCCCAGTTTTTATTGTACTTGTAAGGTAGGTTTTAGGCCACACTCTCCTCCTCCCTTTCCCTGCCTGATTTCCACTGAATTTTACTTCCCTCTGTTTTACTTCCCTCTGTGCACATGTGTGCTCATCTGTTTAGTTCCATTTTAATAGCAAGTACATGTGGTGTTTGTTTTTCCATTCTTTAGATACTTCACTTAGGATAATGGTCTCCTGTTCCACCCAAATTGTTACAAAAGGCCTCAATTCATTGTGTGTGTGTATATATATATATATATATATATATACCACATTTTGTTGATACACTCATGACTCAATGGGCACTTGGGTTGATTCTACATCTATGCAATTGTGAATTGTGCTGCAATAAACATTCAAGTGCAGGTGTCTTTTTGATACAATGACTTATTTTCCTTTGGTTAAATAGCCAGTCATCGGATTGCTGGATCAAATGGTGAGTCTACTTTCAGTTCTTTGAGGAATCTTCATATTGTGTTCTACAGACGTTATACTAATTTGCAGTCCCACCAAGGGTATATAAGTATTGCTTTCTCTCTGCATCCACGTCACATCTATTTTTTTTTTTTTTGACTTTTTAATAAAAGCCACTGTAACTGCTGTAAGGTGATAACTCACTGTAGCTTTAATTTGCATTTCCCTCATGATTAGTGACATGGAGCATTTTTCCTATGTTTATTGGCCATATCTTCCTTTCCAAAGGAAGATAGACATGTCTTTTGCTTACTTTCTAAGGGGACTGTTTGTTTTTTCCTTGCTAATTTTCTTGAGTTCTTTGTAGATTCCAGTTATTAGCCCTTTATTGGATATTTGTGTGTTCTTTTTCATCTAGAACTTTTACTCGTTTCTGAGACAATCTGGCAGCTGGTGTCTCTGGTCAGCCATCTTCTCCATTCTTTAAGATGTTCAGGTTTTTGACCCACTTTTTAATTGGGTTGTTTGTTTTCTTTTTGTTGAGTTTTAAAAGTTCCAAGTATGTTTTGATAATAGTTATTTATCAGATATGAAAATATTTTGCAAATATTTTCTCTCAGTCTGTGCCTTGTCTTTTCATTCTATTCACATTATCTTTCACTGAGTAGAAACTTTTAATAAAGTTCAGTTTATCATTTCTTTCTTTCAAGGATCATGCCTTTGCTGTTGTTTCTAAACAGTTATCACCAAATCCAAAGTCATCTAGATTTTCTGCTATCTTATCTCTTAGTAGTTTTATTGTTTTGAATTTTGCAGTTAGGTTTGTGATCCATTTCAGAATTCTTTGTTTTTGTCATATAGTTTTTATTATTTTGTGAAGGGTTTAAGATCTGTGTTTAGATTCATTTTTTTATG